GGTCATACTACTTGGAGGATGGGGGAGGGAACCCAAGGGCCATTGTGAGCCTGGAAGGCTGTTGCCTGTGCAGTCTGTCTTTACGTGACTAACTTCCTCCCTTGTTCCCCATTAATAATTTTTCCTGTTGAGGCAGCACCAGGCCCTCCAAACGTTCAATTGTGAACTGAATCACAAAAGGAAAACCTCTTCAGGCACAAATAAGGCAAGGCAGTAACTTACCTAGAGCAAGGCCAGCACACTCTGATGTGAAAAAAAATGGAACCTCTTACATGGATACTGCACAGGATGTGTTTAAATTTAAGGAAGTTCATTTCTATGCAAATAGGTTGAGGTCAAAGTTTTCCTCAGCTGAAGGGTATCATCAGTGTATTACAACAGGCTTTAGAGATCATTTTACACAGTCTTCGTATTTTATAAAGCTGGTCACTGTATTTTACACAGTTTAAAAGACAAAGTGGGCTGGGCGTGGTGGCTCATGTCTGTAATCCCAGCACTTTGGGAGGCCGAGGCCAGCAGATCACGGGGTCAGGAGATGGAGACCATCCTGGCTAACACGGTGAAACCCTGTCTCTACTAAAAGTATTTTAAAAATTAGCTGGATGTGGTGGCACACACCTGTAGTCCCAGCTACTCAAGAGGCTGAAGCAGGAGAATCACTTGAACCCAGGAGGCGAAGGTTGCAATGGGCCGAGATTGCACCACTGCACTCCAGCCTGGGTGACAGAGCAAGACGCCATCTCAAATGGATTCAATTTTAAATGGCTTAAGAATAAAGGAGCGCAGTTTGAATACCCTAATAACAAATACTCAGAAAATGTGTTGTATGAAAGGTTAGCCCTCCCCTTGACAAGGATAGAAGAGGCCCTGGGCCCTGACAACACACAGAGTTCCTGGCATCTCACTATGTTTGTATCTTCTTCTCACTGTATTCTAAACAATTTTTTTTAAAATTTCAGCTCATTGCAACTTTCACCTCCCGAGTTCAAGTGATTCTCCCACCTCAGCCTCCCAAGTAGCTGGGATTACAGGTACATGCCACCACACCCAGCTAATTTTTGTATTTTTGTTTGTTTTGAGATGGATTCTCACTCTGTCACCCAGGCTGGAGTGCAGTGGCGCTATCTCGGCTCACTGCAACCTCCACCTCTCAGGTTCAAGCGATTCTCCTGCCTCAGCCTCCTGGGTAGCTGAGACTACAGGTGCCCACTACCATGCCTAGCTAATTTTTGTACTTCTTGTAGAGACGGGGTTTCACCATATTAGCCAGGCTGGTCTCAAACTCCCGGCCTTGTGATTCACCCATCTCCGCCTCCCGAAGTGCTGGGATTACAGGCGTGAGCCACGGCACCCGACCTGATTTTTGTATTTTTAGTAGAGACAAGGTTTTACCATGTTGGCCAGGCAGGTCTGAAACTCCTGACCTCAAGTGATTAGCCCACCTCAGCCTCCCAAAGTGCTGGGATTACAGGCGTGAGCCACTGCGCCTGGACTGTATTGTAAGAATTCTTTATACATTCTGTTACATATTTTGGAAATACTTTTTTCCAATCTGTAATGTGCCTTGCAGACATTCTAAATTTCAATAAAGCCCAAAATAAACTTTTTAAATTAAAAAATACTCAGAAGTCTTTAAAATATATTAGATATTTAAGCAAGTCCAGAACAGTACACATAGTCTATCTCCTTTTGATTTAAAAAACAACAGCAACAACAACTAACAGTGGTTTAGTTAGTTACCTTTGGGAAGTAGTTCAGAGACAGGCAACAGCAAAAGAATATGCTTTTGCTTTTTACTTTTTATTCTTATATTACATAAGTTTCAAAAAAAGCATGAATTACTTTTATAATGATTCAAAGTATTTTAGGTCTTTTCTCAGCAGTGATTTAACAAGAGGAAAATGTATTTTGGCCGCGCGCAGTGTCTTACACCTGTAATCCCAGAACTTTGGGAGGCTAAGGCAGCTGGATCACTTGAGGTCAGTTCAAGACCAGCCTGGCCAACATGGTGAAACCCCGTCTCTACCAAAAATACAAAAATTAGTGAGGCATGGTGGTGCATGCCTGAAATCCCAGCTACTCGAGAGACTGAGGCAGGAGAATCACTCGAACCTGGGAGGTGGAGATTGCAGTCAGCCAAGATCACACCACCGCACTTCAGCCTGGGTGACAGAAAGACGAGAGAGAGAGAGAGAGAATGTATTCTGCTCTTGACTCACTGCAATAGTCAATAAAAACACATTCTTTGTTTTTTGAGATGGAGTCTCACTCTATCGCCCAAGCTAAGCACACTGGCATGTTCTCCACTCACTGCAAACTTCACCTTGAGGCTTCAAGTGATTCTCCTGCCTCAGCCTCCCGAGTAGCTGGGATTACAGGCATGCACCACCGCACTCAGCTAATTTTTGTATTTTTAGTGGAGACGAGGTTTCATCATGTTAGCCAGGCTGGTCTCGAACTCCTGACCTCAGGTGATCCACCCACCTCAGCCTCTCAAAGTGCTGGGATTGCAGGTGCGAGCCACCACACCTGGCCCCTTGGCACTTTTCCTACCAACCTTCTTTGCATCCTACCCTCTCTTTTCCTCCATATGTTATATTCAAATATCACTTCTAAAATATTTAACATAGGAGGATGGCTTTATTGTTAAAAATGTTTATTAAAAGCAGCCTTAGAAAAAAGTGAATGCCTCTTCTCAGATGGTTTCCTGTGCTTTGCCATTGTCACGGGAGAGGGGTCCTGATCCAGACCCGAAGAGAGGGGTCTTGAATCTTGTGCAAGAAAGAATTTGGGGTCAGTCCATAAAGTGAAAGCAAGTTTATAATAAGTAAAGGAATAAGAGAATGGCTTCTCGATCGGCAGAGCAGCATCGGCTACTGGTTGGCTATTTTTATGGTTGTTTATTATATGCTAAACAAGGGGTAGACTATTCGTGAGTTTTCTGGGAAAGGGGTGGCCAATTCCCAGAACTGAGAGTTCCTCCCCTTTTTAGACCATATAGGGTAACTTTCTGACATTGCCATGGCATTCTGTAAACGGTCATGGCCCTGGTGGGAGTGTCTTTTAGTATGCTAATGCATCATAATTAGTGTATAATGAGCAGTGAAGATGACCAGAGGCTGCTTGCATCGCCATCTTGGTTTTGGTGGGATTTCACCAGCATCTTTACCACAACCTGTTCTATCAGCAAGGTCTTTGTGACCTGAACCATGCCAACTCCATCTCATCCTGTGACTTAAGAATACCTAACCACCCAGAATGCAGCCCAGTAGGTCTTTTACTGAGGCCCTATTCAAGATGGAGTCACTGTGGTTCAACCGCCTCTGACATCATCACTCTTCAAAAATACTTTGTAAATCAAGATTAATAATCAACTTATTGGTTATTATCTGACTTCCTGAACCTTGCATTCCAGATGGTATAGAATTAAATAATTGTACACTTTTCCTGTATTTGTCTAATGTTAAGTCAATTAACTTCAGAGTTGGTTTCAATACCAACACAGGTGACAGTTTCCTTGCTGGTTGTCCAATACATCTATTCTCTTATGCACCCATCATAATAGAATTTTTCAGCTCAGCTCAGAAGGTGCCGAAGTAAAGGCTTCAACCCCCTTCAAAACAATGGGATGGTACTGGTATCCAAGTTCTGGCCAATGGTATATAAATAAGAATTTTGCATGGAACCTTCCTTAGGAAAAGCAGGCCTGCTCTTTGTCTACTTGGATCATGAAAATGAGCATCTCACTCTAAGAATGAGAGCATCTCAGGCTGAGACTTTGTGGCACAGAGCCAGCAACCAGCCTTCAACTGATCTCAAGTCTTTGTATGAGAGAAAAAAAATAAATTATCTCATTGAAGCACTGTGATTTGGGGATCCTATCAATGAAGCCAAAATGAACGCTAACACACCAACTCTGTCACTTGGGTATCTGAACAATAGAAGCATGTTTTAAAATTTCTGCCTATCCTTTGAAATTCATAGGATTTCATGTTATTATAGAAGATGGTGAGCTGGGCACAGCGGCTCACGCCTGTAGTCCCAGCACTAGGAGGCTGAGGTGCGCAGATCGAGGTCAGGACTTTGAGACCAGCCTGGCCAACACGGTGAAACCCCTTTTCTACTAAAAATACAAAACATTAGCAGGGCATGGTGGTGGGCACCTGTAATCCCAGCTATTCTGGAGGCTGAGACAGGAGAATCACTTGAACCTGGGAGGTTGCAGTGAGCTGAGATCACACCATTGCACTCCAGCCTGGACAACAAGAAAAAAAACTCCATGTCAAAAAAAGAAAAAAAGGAGATGGTCCTAGTCATAATTCTTTATAAGTCCTAGGTTCTAAGGAATTGTTTAATAACAAGTCAATTATATAATCTGGATAAAACTTGAAAGACATTCTTGCGACATAAATTATTTTATAAATTGAAACTCAGAACAAAACATGAGATCGATAAGCAAACAAAACAAATATTGCATTGTTGAATTTTTCAAATTTTTTAATTTTTAAGAAAATAACCAGCCAGGAATTATTTCATTTCTACTGTGGAAGAATTATGAATTATCTTTAATTGTTCAATATAAATTAAGGTTTCACATGATTTGGATATTAAGTATCTTTGAAACGCTAAATAATCATACCAACTGCTTGCCTGAACGTGGGACACAGAGGTTGCAGTGAGCCGAGATCACACCACTGGACTCCAGCCTGGGAAACAGAGGGAGACTGCCTCAAAAAAACATCTAACTGTTGAATCTTTTATATTAACTGTTTAATTCTCATGTTGCCAGCTGTTTTTATTGCTTAAATAATATTCGAACCGTTTTTTCAAAATCATTTGTAATGACTGAAAGATGAAGGTCTCCAATGTCAGGTAAGTAAAATTATTATCAATTTAAACTAGAACACTTACCTTCTTCAAAAAACTACGTTAATAGCTTAATCATCATTGTCTACTTTGACCATAGATTTGAGAAAATAAATTCACCTGCAATTTTTCTGTCTCTCACCTTCAATGTTGCTAGCAAATCTGCCTAGCAGCTACTCATCAGCCTTACACCTTAAGCATACATCCTGATCTTACTCTTCGGGCGGAGATTTTACCCTCTTGACATTGGGTAGCAGCGCTTCCCTGAGGCTACAGATTAAGTCACCAACTCACTCCCTCCACTCTCATCTTGGCAGAGCAGACCTACAGGTCATTCCCATTCCACTTGTACATTCATTCTGATCTGTAACAGTAACAAGGCCTGGATGAAAAGATCATTGAAAAAACAAAAGAGAAATATTCCAAAATAGTTGTCCTTTACCTGCCATAGACTATCAGAGAGTTTGTATCTTTGAGACAGAACCCACACAGACTCAGTTTCTCCATGCAGTCCTTGTTTCCTGCCAATTTAATTTTAAATGAAAATGACAGATCTGAGTACACTGAAAAGTAACATCATCATCTGGAAAGTTATACATAATGAAAATGCAATGACAAATACACATCTTTCGGTCCCTATTCCAGTCCTCTTTAACAACTTTGCTTTCTCAGATGGGAATTCATGAGCTGTAATACTTAAGGAGATTTTCATCTGTAGGTTTTAGGATTTTCTTATCGGCCATATTCACCACCCATCCTGGAGCAAGACCAAAGAAAATCTGCCTTGGATCCTTCCTAGTACAGAGCATTTTGAAGAGTTCATCTTTAGTGATATCGGGTAAGATGTAACCGTACTTCCTGGCAAGTTCAAGTCGCGCTTCAGGAAATTTGGCAGGATCTGCCAGGTACCCACGATTCTTTGCATCGGTGTAATACGGTACCAGTTCTTCTGGTGGAAGCATTCTTTTTGGAATGGGTTGTCCACGATGAAAGAATGGAACTGGTTTGCATACAATGTCTAAAAGAAAATTTAAATTTAAAAAGTGAGATGCAAATATTAGCTCTGTAGACATATATAGAGATGTAACTCTGTAAACACAGAGATGTTACAGAGTTTCTCCTTCTCTTGATTCTTAATTTTTTTTTTTTTTGAGACAAGTTTTGCTCTTCTTTTCCAGGCTGGAGTGTAATGGCACATCCAGTCTCATAGGAGCAGCCTGGACACCAGTGGAGGTTTTGTGCAAAGGAGTGACAGTCCATGCTTTAAAACGAACTTCATGCCATGTCACTCCACTGCAGATGAAGCAACAACACAGAGGCCACCTGAAGGCCCACAGTCATCCAGGCAAGAGGACAGTGGCCAGGACAGACTGGCAGTAGCTGGAGAAGTGGTCGAATGTGGACATGGTTTGAAGAAACAGCTCACAAGATCTATTAGGGCATAAAAGAAAAAGTTCAGAACTCCAAATTTTGGATGGACTTGTCATTACTCACATAGGGAAAACTGCAAGAAAAGGCAGGCTGAGATAAAAAAGATGGGCTGGTTGTGGTGGCTCATGCCTGTAATTCCCGCACTTTGGGAGGCCAAGAAGGGCAGATCACTTGAGGTCAGGAGTTCGAGGCCAGCCTGGACAACATGGTGAAACATGTCTCTACCCAAGATTAGCCAGGTGTGGTGGCGGGCACCTGTAATCCCAGCTACTTGGGAGGCTAAGACAAGAGTATTCCTTGAACCTGGGGGGCGGAGGTTGCCGTGAGCCAAAATCATGCCACTGCACTCCAGCCTGGGCGACAAAGCAAGACTCTGTCTCAAAAAAAAAAAAAAAAAGGAAAGAAAGGAGATATTTCAGACATGCTACATTTGAGGTCCCTGCTAGACATTCAAGAGAATTTGCCAGGCAGGCAGATGCAGGTCTACAGTTCAGGGGAGGGGCTGAGAATCTTTTTTGCCCTTGGTATATCTGTCTACGACATGCTGTATTCTTTAAATCATAATAATCCACGTGGTAGACATAGGTCAAACACTATATCCAAACTACTACCAACATTTGCCATTCTCTAAGTAATTAAAAAGTAGCCAACATGAGACAGAGAAAGAAGATGACCGTGGAACAAGCTTACCCAGACTTCTTGGATCATAGAAGGCTGTAGTAACAACACCACCATTTTTTTCAATTGCAGCAATAGCTAGTTCTGAAGCCAACTGTACTTCAATATTAACTTTCGCTGTAAAGGTGTCTGCACCCTGAAATAGGTCAAAACAGTCTGTTGGTAAACAGTTTGGCTAAAAGTAAATTAATTATGTCAAGCTTCCTTTTGAAACAGTGTTTTTCCCTCCAAAGTGCCTGTAGTGTAACAGTAGAGTCAGCCATCCAGATCGGTGGATTCCACAACTGTGAGTCAACCAACTTGGATGGAAAATTTTCAGAAAAAAAGTAATAATAAAAAATAAAAGCAGGCACGGTGGCTCATGCCTGTAATCCTAGCACTTTGGGAGGCCAAGGCAGGGAAATCACTGGAGGTCGAGTTCTAGACAAGCCTGGTTAACATGGTGAAACCCCATCTCTACTAAAAATACACAAATTAAGCGGGCATGACGGCAGGCACCAGTGTCATACCAGCTACTTCGAGGCTGAGGCAGGAGAATCGCTTGAACCTGGGAGGCAGAGGTTGCAGTGAGTTGAGATCGTACCACTGCCAGTCTGGACAACAGAGCAAGACTCCATCTCAACAACACCAACAACAAAATAATAATAGTAACAATAATAATCCAACAATAAGAAAACAATTTTTAAAAATACAGCATAACAACTATGTATATAGTATTTACATTACTTACAACAGCAAAAGCCACAATTATTTGTGCATCAACCTATTATTAGGTATTATAAGTAAGCTAGAGATGATTTAAAGTATATGTGAAAATGTGGCAGGTTATATGCAAATACTAGGTCATCTTAGATAGACAGAGACTTGATCATCTGGATTTTGGTGAGAGGAGGTGATCCTGGAACTAATCCTAAGGGATGACTATAATTCCTTTTTAAAATATCTCTGCTTTGAGAGCCTATCACTTTTTTTTTTATAACATTTTTATTTAGGCTACCTTGTTTTACCAATTTTCGATTGGTATAAGACTGACTATATTTCTATTTTATGTGTACCTACTAAGCACTCATTCCTGATACTTCATTAATAGTAGACTGTTTAATCCTCATTAACAACCTTATGATAGGATTACTGCTATACTGAGTCCACAGACGGAAATACTGAGACACAGAGAAGTCACATGCCCAAGATCACAATGCAATGAGTGTAATCCAGGGAGTCTAGTCACAGCATCTGTGTTCTTAACCACAACATTTTGCTGTCAGACATAAATAAAAACTTATCTTCTTTATCCCTAAGTCGCAGGCTAGCAGGAGGTTAAACCAGGGGATGTGCAGGCTGGAGCAGGTGGAAAAATAGAGTATCTGACAAAATCTGAGCTTTGGAAAAGTTGGCCTCACTAGGGAAAAAGGGAGAAGACAACAGAAATTCACTTTGCATTCACCATTGACTTTATTAGAGCCTCTAAGCTGGAAAAAAAAAACAAAAAACAAACAAACAAAAAAAACCCTCCACTGTTTCCTGGAATAGTCATCACTAGAAAATGCAGTGCTAGGCCAGGCATGGTGGCTCATGCCTGCAATCCCACCACTTTGGGGAGCCAAGGAGGGTGGGTCACTTGATGTCAGGGGTTTGAAACCAGCCTGGCCAACACGGTGAAACCCCATCTCTATTAAAAATACAAAAATTAGCCAGGCCTGGTGGCACATGCCTGTAGTCCCAGCTACTCGGGAGGCTGAGGCAGGAGAATCGCTTGAACCTAGGAGGTAGAGGTTGCAATGAGCCAAGATCACACCACAGCACTCCAGCCTGGGCACAGAGGGTCTTGCTCTGTCACCCAGGTGGGAGTACAGTGGCAGGATCCTACGTAACTCACTGCAGCCTCGAACTCCTGGGCTCAAGCCATCCTCCCACCTCAGCCTCCTGAGTAGCTGGGACTACAGGTGTGCAGCACCATGGCTGGCCAAATTTTTTTTTTATTTCGTGAAAATGAGGTCTTGTTATGTTGCCCAGGCTGGTCTTGAACTCTTGACCTCAGCCTCCCACAGTGCTGGGATTACAGGTGTCAGCCACCGCACCTGGCCTTCTTTGTGATTTAAAAAAAAAAAATTAATCTGTTTTTAAAGCAAGGTTAATCCTCAGCACTTTGTTCTAGCTATGTCTCTTCTTCTGTGAAGCAATGGGAGGCCTCACCTTCAATGAGTGAAGAGTCCCGAGGTGGAGCCACATTGCTGAGAATTAAAATACCTGGGCTAACACATCCCCCTGTAGGTTTCAGAGGCACAACACAAGGTTACATGCTTAAAACTTTTGATCCTCTCCATATCCAAATCTGCACCATCTCCAAGCTCCCCCAGCCAGGAGAAAGGCTTCTCTATCCATTCCATTGCTCACGTCATGAGTCTGGGACCTAGTTTACCAACTACTCCTCCCTCACCCTCTCACCCACCACCTCCAATGGAGAATCAGATCTTGTTTATTTCGCCCTCCCAATTTTCTTTCACCTCTGTGCACCTGGCTCCATCGCCATGCTCCTCCCAACTCCTAGCCATCAATTTCACTTCCCTGCATCTGAAAGGTTTTTTCATAAACATATGCTTCCCTCTAGTGGACACTAACTTAGCTATACAACCGTATTACTGATTGACAATGTATAAAACTCCATCTCAAAAAAAAAAAGAAAAGAAAAATGTATTTCTGAACTCTTAAAAGTTAAATTTTGGGTCACAGCATTGCTATATTTTTCTCTAATTTCAAAGCAGATTCTGATAAAAAGATGGTAGCATTAGCACTCTATGGCAATCGGAAGGTTTTATGTAGCTGAAAGAAGCTGGCTCCCAGCTTAGCTCCTTCTATTAATTATTAACTTTTCATGTATTTCAGAAATATTCCATCAATTCTACAATGCATTTTCACACTTTTTTTTGTATCTAATACTGACGTGTATTTGTAATCAACAGTACCTTTGATTCAATAAAACTGGGTCTTGCTGTATCATTTGTGACTTTTAAGCAATCCATAGCTTGCTTAACCGTCTCCCTATTTTGGGGCATTGGTGTCAGTTCCAGTATTTTCAGTAGTATAAACAGCACTTTTAGGAATGTCTTTATAACAGGTTTATTTCATTTTGCTTTTTCCTTGAGAACATATATTTCCAAATTGATAGTTTTGTGCTAAGTGATGAAAACTGTCTTATTATTCACTACTTACTGCAAATCTGAAATCACAAAAGTAAATCAGTTAACAGAGATATAAATGATGTGTAATTGTACTTACTAACCAGTGCCCTGGGGTACAGTTTTCAGGGTTATTTTTGCTAATTTAATAGACCACACCTAAGGATGCTGGGATGTGCAGTTTAAGGGCTGATGAGGTCATGGATTTCCATAATGTTAAGTTACATGTGTATTTCCTTATATAGCCAGGGTAGAATACTGAGGCTTAATCTTGTATTCAGTATTCTCTTTTCAAATTACTTTATTTGGAAAGCTTTTATCCATACAGTTCACTTTTTCAAAGGAATCTGAAAGGTTTTTTCATAAACATATGCTTCCCTCTAGTGGACACTAACTTATCTACACAACCGTATTACTGATAAACAGTAGTTGATGGACAATGTACAAAAAATTTGGCCCACGTGGTAGCTCATGCCTGTAATCCCAACACTTTGGGAGCCCAAGACAGTCAGATCACCTGAGGTCAGGAGTTCACGACCAGCCTGACCAACATGGTGAAACCCCTTTCCACTAAAAATACAAAATTAGCCAAGCATGGTGGTAACACGCCTGTAATCCCAGCTACTTGGGAGGCTGAGGCAAGAGAACAGCTTGAACCCGGGAGGTGGAGATTGCAGTGAGCAGAGATTGTGCAACTGCACTCCAGTCTGAGTGACAGAGTAAGACTTCACACACACAAAAAAAAGGGCAGAAAATTAGCTAGGCATGGTGGTGGGTGCCTGTAATCCCAGCTACTCGGGAGGCTAAGGCACAAGAATCTCTTGAACTCAGGAGACAAAGGTTGCAGTGAGCCGAGACGGCACCACTGCACTCCAGCGTGGGCAAAAGAGTGAGATACCATCTCAAAAAAAAAAAAAAAAAAGAGGGCTGTGTGCAATGGCTTACATCTGTAATCCCAGCACTTTGGGAGGTCAAGGTGGGCAGATCACAAGGTCAGGAGATCGAGACCATTCTGGCTAACACAGTGAAACCCCATCTCTACTAAAAATACAAAAATTAGCCAAGAATGGTGGTGACCACCAGTAATCGCAACTACTCAGGCAACTTGGGCAGGAGAACTGCTTGAATCCAGGAGGCGGAGGTTGCAGTGAGCCTAGATGGCACCGCTGCACTCCAGCCTGGGTAACAAGAGCGAATCCGTCTCAAAAAAAAAAAAAGAAAAAAAAAAGAATAAATGAAAGAAAGTAAAGCAATGAATCCAAGTACCTGCCCTCAAGGGAGCTTATACTCTAGTGAGGAAGACAATGAAAACAAATGCATAACTTGGCAATAAATGTCAAGTGTTCTTATATATTCAAAGAAAAACATTCTGGGCAGAGTAAAGCAAACAATGTGACTGCTGAGGCAGGGCAAGTGCTCTTTTAAAAAGTCTCTCAAAAAAGACCTTCCTGTCTGGGTGGGGTGGCTCACAACTATAATCCCAACACTTTGGGGGCTGAGGTGGGCAGATCAACTGAGGTCAGGAGTTTGAGAACAGCCTGGCCAACATGGCTAACCCCTTCTTTACCAAAAATAAAAAAAATTAGCCAGATGTGGTGGCACATGCCTTTAGTCCCAGCTACTTGGGAGTCTGAGGCACGAGAATCACTTGAACCTGGGGGGCGGAGGTTGGCAGTGAGCAGAGATTGTGCCATTGCACTCCAGCCTGGGTGACAGAGCAAGACTCCATCTCTATTTAAACAAACAACAACAACAACAAAAAAAAAAAAAAAAAAAAAAAAAAAACGGCAAGGTCACTCATGCCTGTAATCCCAGCACTTTGGGAGGCCAAGGCAGGCAGATCATGAGGTCAGGAGATCAAGACCACACTGGCCAACATGGTAAAACCCCGTCTCTACTCAAAATACAAAAACTAACTGGGCATAGTGACGTGTGCCTGTAATCCTAGCTACTCAGGAGGCTGGGGCAGGAGAATCACTTGAACCAGGGAGTCAGAGGTTGCAGTGAGCCAAGATCACACCATTGTACTCCAGCCTGGAGATAGAGCAGGACTCTGTCTTGGGGCTGGGGGCGGGGTGGGGGGACAGGAATCCTTCTACATAACACCAAAAGATCTAATCCAGACTTACCTCCTCGACCAGCTGGACTCCATAATCTCTTTTAAGTGGCTGGATGGTCACACCTCTCCCATTGACAAGCTGCGTTAAGTCAATAGGCTGAGTAGGATCAACACGACCCAAATCAATAAGATACTGCAGTCTATTGAGACTCAAAGGCTTATACTGGCGTCTGAAGCTGTAAAACAAGAATGTACGAGCTGAAAAACTCTCATCTTCCTGTAACTCCTCCAAATCAACTCAAAGCTTTGTCCTGTGTTTTCCTCCAATTTTAATTATTTAACTAAATAAAACCCTCTTGAGTGTAACACAAACATGTAATATTGCTTGGTTTTGGTTAATGAAATGATAGCTGTACCACCTTTGTTCCACTAAAAATTATTTCCCTCTATACGCATTTACTTCATTTATTTACACAAATAAATCTGTGGAAAATTTAACTTACTATGGAACTCAAAGTAATAATAACGGTAGTCACCATTTATTAGGTGACTACAGTGGGCCAAATTTTTATATAGACTGTCTATTATTGCTAATTCTCTTAACTACCATGAGGGCAGGCATTAGAATCTCCATTTTGCAGGTCTGAGTGCAATGTCTGGGCTTTTTTTCCTTTTAATAATTGAGGCAAATTTTCATGACCAAAAAATAGTTCAGAGGAACAGTAGCAAAAGTTTGCTTCAAAGTGAATTTAAAATTTCCACCAAAATTTCTACCAAACTATTTTTTAGGTGCTTCTTAATGGAAATTGGGGGCCTGTACTTTAAAAAGCAAAGCAACCTTACCTATGTCCTTCGTTAAAACCGTATTTTGGGATTCGGATGTAAAATGGAGTCTGGCCTCCCTCAAAGCCCAGGCGAGGCCGGGTTCCTCTTTGCCTTTCTCCTTTGTGGCCTCTGCCACATTTTCTACCTCTTCTCCGACCTCTTGGTCGCCTCTCCTACAAGGAAATAAGAGAATTTTGTGAATTTCGGATGCATTTCTGAAAACTGCATTTCATCTCTTCACTGTTTATCTTTTTGTTACGCTGTTAATTCATCCAACCAACCACTATTGTGTGACAGGCATGTCCTAGTTGCTCAAACGTCCACATGCTCTGTTAGCATCTTTGCTTCTAAAGACATAGCTAATTCTTGTAACCAAAGTCCAAGCTGTGCATCAAAACGAAAAAGTCAAGTTTGGGATGGGGATAAGGTTTTTATAATAGGCTAAAACTGAAAAAGATCCTAGAATTAAATATCCACAACATTTTAAATGATAGTCAGAAATTTTTTATTTTGAAATTAGTTGTAAATGTGCAAATATTCTTCACAACCCTGTAATTTTATTTGAAACTAATTTGTTGAAGAAAATTTTCCTTAATTTACTTCCTATTATTTCACCAAAGCAACGAATTGACTGCTGAAACGACAGTATGCTGTCAACAGCTTTTCTAGCTGTATTTACTGAACTGCAGAAGAGCCAGCTGCAATTCAGATCTTTCCAATGAACATAAAAATACACAGGGAAAGCACTTCATTTTAAATCCAATTTTGCAGGACACAATGACTTTGTAGTTTCAGCGAGTCGGCTTCTCTAAGTAATATCTTTACATTTCTAAAAATAAACCTTGGCCGGGAGCAGTGGCTCACGCCTGTAGTCCCAGCACTTTGGAAGGGCGAGGCGGGCATATCACGAGGTCAGGAGTTCGAGACCAGCCTGACGAACACGGACAAGCCCCGTCTCTACTAAAAAATACAAAAATTAGCCGTGGGTGGTGGCGTGCACCTGTAATCCCAGGTATTCAGGCGGCTAAGGCAGGAGAAACACTTGAACCCCGGAGGCGGAGGCTGCAGTGAGCCGAGATGGCGCCATTGCACTGCAGCATTGCACTGCAGCCTGGGCGACAGAACGAGACTCCCGTCTCAAAACTAAATAAATAAAACAAACCTTAAGAACTGGGTGCGCGTGGAACGATCGCCCTCTGGGCAGTAAAGGAGAACAGGCACGAGGCAACCTTACGTTCATCCCAACACCCTCCCAGAAAGAGCAGTTTTCTTAATGACAAAGAGAAAAGGGCTGCTTCCATTGCCCCGGTCCCCAGCGTTTCCCCCGCAACGCCACCAGCCATTTACCGGTTTCCTGGAGCCGGGATTCGGCTTTAAGTTGGCCAGGCTCACACGCGGCAGGTCCCGGAGTAGGTCCAGGGCCCGGGACCTACCGCCCTGCAAAGGACCGGCCATAACTCCCAGATCCAAGAACTTTCAAGGGCGCCCCGAGCCGCTGGGAGGCCACGTGGTCTCGCGAGCTGCTTTACGGTCGTGGCCCCGCCCCTGTCGCGCAGCAGCCGCGCGCGCACGCCCGGGACTCGGGCAGAGGAGTGTGAGTCTGCAAGCTTGTCTCTGGGGTCCTTTTCTTTTAGTTCTTGAGGGACGTGATCTTATTTTCCGATGTCTTGCTTTGTCCTCGGGGTCCCTTTTAATATTCTGAATGTAAAACCATCTCATTCACCAAACAGGAGTACGCACTAAAAACACTGCGTTAGATAAAGGATCTTTTTTGAGTCAGTGTTTGGCGTTGCCTATGAGTCCAGGCGGTGCGTTCTCTGAGGTCAACGCAGAACCCAGAGTAAAGCATTGTGAGCTGTCAATTATCAGCTTTTGAACTTGTATAATTATACGCCGTGGGTACGAAAATAATACTCATAGTGCTCTTATCAAAATGCCTGGCTAATAGCATTTTTAATGCCTAATCTTTGAATAAGACTCAAAGTATGAACTCTCATCGTGTGCATCTGTATTGAGTGAATCACAGTTGACCACTTAGACTGGCACAGTACTAATTGCCTGGTGGCCAGGCCCTGTATTAAATTAGCCTTACTCGAGTTACAGCCATTCTAAAGGTACAGTAGATGATGTTACTGCAATTTGCAGTAACAGCGAGGTAAGGCTTAGCAAGGTCCAGTAGCTTGACCAACTTCTTGCAACAAGCAACAGAGCCAGGATTCAAACTTACACTGCTTCCTACTATAAAAGTAGTATTTTTAGAATGTAAAATTGAGTATCTCCAAACATTACTCGAAAAATACTAGCTCTTCTATTTTAAGTTAGTTTAATATAGAAAAGACTGTTCCTTTTTCTTTCTTTTAGTGATCGTGTGGTATTTCACTGTCTTGCTGGAGAGTTTTTTCTGCTAGGTCTTACTAGTAATCACAAATAATGAAGGTGAGAATTTTTGGAAGGCAGCTGTCTTGGGTTTAACTACATCTTTTTTAAGTTCCTTTAAATCAAGTATAAAATAACCATATAAAGAAAAAGTTGTATTCATTCCTTCAAGTACTATTTATAAGTAATACGCTGAACTTGTTAGAAATACATATGGCGGCTGGGCATGGTGGTTCACGCCTGTAATCCCAGCATTTTGGGAGGCCGAGGTGGGTGGATCACCTGAGGTCAGGAGTTCGAGACCAGCCTGGCCAATATGGTGAAACCCCATCTCTACTAAAAGTACAGAAATTAGTCAGGCATGGTGGTGGGCACCTGTAATCCCAGCTACTCGGAGGCTGAGGCAGGAGAATCCCTTGAACCCAGGAGGCAGAGGTTGCAGTGAGCCAAGACCGCACCATTGCACTTCAGCCTGGGCAAAATGGGCAACAAGAACGAAACTCCGTCTCCAAAAATAAAAAAAGAAAGGAATACATATGGATGAACTCAAACAGTATTTCATTCCCAGGTTGTTTGAAATCTAGTAGGGAAGACTTTCCAAAAGTGATTTTTTTTTTTTTTAAGTTAAAGATAGCCAGGCACAGTGGTTCACGTCTGTAATCCCAGCACTTTGGGAGGCCGAGGTGGGCGGATCACGAAGTCAATAGAGCGAGACCATCCTGGCCAACATAGTGAAACCTCGTCTCTACTAAAAATACAAAAAATAAATAAATAAATAAATAAATAA